TCTGCTGGTTCCAAATCCTGCTGTAAGCTGTCAGTATCAGGACAGGTTAACACAGCTGGCTCATGTGCCAGCCACCGCTGATCACAACAGAGACTTTCAACACTGATGATGTTAGCTGATGGGTCTCTGAACTTCTCTGCTATCAGTCCTCAGCCCTGACTTTTTTTGCCAAGCATCTTCCTATTGCAGTATTCTCTATCAGTTAAAATAAATAAATAATCAATCTCCCCCCTTCTCTTTTTTTTTTTTTTCCCTTTTTTTTTGAATTGTGCTTATCTTGGAGGGTCTTGAGGGTTGTATTCCCTTAAAATTTCTCCCCAGCTTTCAAATCCATTTCAGAGATTGTTTGGAGAGATCTGAAAACTACAGTCAGATACTATGCCCAAATCTGTATTTGTAGCCATTTCAGCTGATGGTAGTGCAAGCTGACTAGCAACATGTGTAGGCTGTCCCCTTGGATGAGGTGTAGGAAGCTGAGATGTCTTCTGAATGAAAAATTGGCGGGCTGTCAGTAGACAGTTAATTTTAATAGAAATGCTTGACCTTGTATTATGGAAGCAGTCTTGCTCTTATGGCCTCTTATGGACTCCCTGTTTGTTATGGCTGCATCTGCCACCAGAGGCCAACTCCTTCTGCCTTTGTTCCTAGTTACTGGTGAATCTTTTCTGAAATGCCATGGCGTGCTTTATTGCAGTACCATCAGCATATGTACCTTGATAGCAAATCCACTCATTTTTGTAAAATGTATTGACTGTTGCATCCATTCCTTGCTCTCCTTTTTGGTGGCTATCGCGGCCCTGTGGCTGAATGGGTGCTGCCTGTGCCTGTGTGTGAGGGTGGGGGAAACCATGGTCGCTCATAGGTGCTTTTACAAAGTTTGGGTCTTGCAGCTACCTGGATGCTCACAGATCCTCAGTTAGATCCTGCTTGGAGAGGTTTGCAGTGGGGTTAAACAGGAGCTCTGCTCTGCGTCCCTCTCCCTCGCACGCTCCAAGGGCCAGGGTGGAGGGAAGATGGCCAATGTGACTGTGTGGTCTCGTGTCAGTAAGTACAGGCTTACAACGTTGTCAAGTTTAACAAGGCAACTTTACTTGTAACAGGGGTATGATTTTTTTTCGGCAATTAGGTTCAACTTGAGTTGCATGTTTCAGTATGAATATCTTGGGTTTAAATGCAGTATTAGATATCAGCAGAGCTGCTTGCACCCAGGGATTAAATGGCTAAGACCTTTATTTCTTTAGTTTTTTTAAAATGTAAGGCAGTTTGATTTTTTTGTTGTTGTTGTTGCTTAGAAGAGCAGCAAGCAGGGCATTCTCACAGCAGTGCAGTTCAGCTGTAGGAAATGTTGGAAATGCAGCTGAATGATATAGGTGTGTAGATTCAAAAGAATCATTTTCTTGACTGCGTGAGTTTTATTAGCTGGTATGTGCTCATCACGTTGCATTTAGCAGATACTGATTTTGCATATTTTTGCTCTTAAATCAGCAAGTAGCGATAAGCATATCCACAGTTCCTGGTCTGTGTGCTGAAGTATGACATGAAGTTGGTTCACAGACGAAACAGGAGCGGAGGCTCTCTTGTGCTTTATCTCAAAGGCAGAAACTCAATCCCAGGAAACACCCCACAGGTGGCAGCAGGCCTGCTGCCATCCGGACGAGGTTTTGATAAAATTCCAGCACGGATGCTCTCAGAGCAATCTGGCATGCGTCACCGCTGTGCGGAAACCCGCCTCAAAATGTGTCTGCTTGCTTTTCGTGTCATTCAGGCCAGGTTTTGGGAGACTTTGCCTCGTTTTCCTGCTGAAAGCCGCAGCTGAAGGCATCTCGTGGCGTGCTGGGGCCGATGGTGCCACCGAGCACCCTGGCCACTGACAGCTGCGCCGCTCCTCCGGCTGCCAGCATCCACTGCTGAAACTATACTTTTTTTTATCAGGTCATGTTTGTGTCTGGCAAAGATTTGTAGACACAACATCATTAACAGCAGTGCATATTTTCCCAAGATTTACCTCTTCAACACTTTTTCCAAATTAGTAAATCATAGCTTCTTTAATGTCCTGCTGGCTGCATGAAAAACAGGAATTTATGTAACAAGCTCTGGGCTGCAAACCTTTTCCTGTTAGGAAAATTTTTTTTTCATTGCTGGCAGAGTTAGGAGACAGCTCTGTTACTCAAAGAGCGACCTCAGATGTCCTCAGTACAATCATACCAGATTATAGCATTTTTGATGACTAAGGAATAGCAGTGATTTCTTAAATATTTAACACTTCTGTTGCAGAGAAGAGGGAACTGAGTCTTAGAATGGTATTTTCTCTGCCTGATGTTTTGTGTGTTTGATATGCCTATTTTGATAGTAAACAGTAGGCCTGAGCCAACTGGGTATGTTTACAAAATACAGTAAAAAAAATGAACTGGCGCAGGAGGTTTTTTAATCAACAGACGTGCAGAACAACTTTATTGCGACATTTCTAGAGCTGGACTTGTGTCAGCCGGGGATTCGGCTGTGGCCCTCGAGTGAAAACAACAGGCTGTGCCAAGCAGACCTCACGAGGCTTCTCGGTCAGCCCTTGGGGCCACGGGCAAGTCCAAAGCTGAATTTTTGGGCTTACCCTCCTGATGTGTTAACTGCACCTGGTGAAAATAAAATTTCAAGGCCTTGCTTAACACTCTGTAGCTAGACAGAGGATGAGATTTTGATTGTGGGGTTACTTGCAGTGAAGAGATACAGCCCTATGTTAATTATGAGTTAATATGAGAGTGGCTCCTTTTCAAAATTGAATAAGGAAACAAATTGTTGCTGATGTACGGTTAACTGGGATAATTTGTTAAAGGTGGTTCTTTGGAGGGGAAGGAGAGGTTGGAAAGGCTTCTGAGGTTAGGCACGTGGTTTGACACCTTGCTGTGCTGGTTGAACAATGAGCTGCCATGAGGCCATGTTCTGCCATCTTCTGCTGTCAGAGAACACCTTGTGCCCCTGTTTGGGGTGACGCTGTGCTTCTGTGGGGGTTGTCTCAGGACATGGCTGCCTGTAAGGTGTTACAGGACTGTAACACATCCTTGCTGCCCTCATCTGCTGAAAGTCTCCTCTTTGACCCTAGTGTAACCATTTCTGTTGAGCTCAGCAGGTGGCCAAGCCTGCTTTGGCTGGTTGGCTTTCCGTGGTCTACAACATGTCATGGCCCTTGCAGGGAATTTGAGCCTGTTGTCTCTGATTTGATCGAGGCCTCATGAGATGACTGTTTTCACCTGACGCCTCCATGTGGTCTTTGCTCCTGTTCTTCTGTCAGCTGGATGTATAGGCAATGGGAAAAGATGTGCATCTTTGAGAAAGCAGGTGTGCACAGGAAGACAGGTAGAGTAGAGAAGGTGAAGGAAGACATTTCTGGAGATGCTGCTGTCACAGGCAGTACTGCGGGTTGGAAAATACAGCAAAAGCAGCCAGAGACCTGAACAGTGATTGTGTCCTTCGTCCTCTGATTTGCCTCATAAGGCACGCAAAGCTCCATGGGCTGTATCATCCTCGTGGTTTGGTGCTGTAGTGGGTCTTGGGGGTCAAGTTAAAAACTTGTGAGAAGGTAGTAGATGGGAGGAAAAAGGTAGAAAAACAGGAAAGAGAGAACAGAGCTTTTGTAGATCTGGCAGCCATTTAGTATTTTGGGATAATTGGCCTACTGGTCAAGATCAGCCTTACTACTGCTTTCTAGAAACAGTCTTTCCATTTTTGCTCCCCCCAATTTTTCTTTAGACACCTAGCTAAAAATTACTATGAATGCAAGATGGCTACTGCAACACTGATTTTTCTGTATTGATGTCTAATTTCTGGTTTACCCATTTCATGTGTTGTTTTGTGGTTCCCTCCTGCTTGTTCTATGTAAATTGCAGTCCTAGTGTAGACTGTGGGTCCCCATGTAGACTGTGCTACTGTCCCACCCTCCTACCAAAATCTATGGCTGCCTATTTCAGCGAACTTTGAACTTGTGGCCTTTTGTTAACAATTATGTAAAAGTATAGGTCAGCTTTTCTGTTGATATAATATTCTTTACGTGTGCTCAGTAGAAAATTACATGAGGAAAAAAGTGTTTGTCCACAGCTCGATAATGCAAAGGGTAGTCTTTTGTTAACAGGTCAACCCATGGGCTTGGATTTTGGGTGTTTTTTGGTTTCTTCTTTCTTTTTGTATTTAAGAACAAAACACGAAACATTACTCGTGTCTGAGGAGATAATGAAAAGCTTCTCTGGTCAGTCTTGGCACAAGATATCTTGTGTCCTCAGGTATTAGGAGAGTCAATTTTGCATATTAAAATGTTAATTTTGAAAGAGAAAGATGGTTTTAAGACATAGGTTTTAAATGCAATTTTCTCTATGCTGCTTGCATTCCTTTCTCCCTTATGACTTCTTAGGCAATTTGTGATGTTTATTTATAAAAATTAGAACTTAATTCTCAACTGGTTTTCTGTATGTGTTTTCTGACATAACACAAGTAATATGCTTAGTGGCAATACTCACAAGCATGGTATGTTTGCAGGGTTTAAGGATGTGCAGGATGAGAACCCATTATAAGGACCATAGAACAGGATCTAGCACTCCTGAACTTTGTGTAAAATAATAAAAATAATAAAAATCCTTAAATGCAATCAGGTTCAACTCATTAGCATGAAGCTGGTAATGAGATCTTCAGTCCTATTCTTTGTCTTGTACTATATTTTGTCTCCTTTATGAGGAATTTGTATTTCAGAATAGCTCTTTCAGTATTTTATTTACTTTTTATGGTGTCAGATGTGACAGGGCCACATGACAGACAAATTGATGTGGCAACTCTTTCCAAGCTCGTTTCAGCCAATTCTGAGTGGTGAGCTGATAAAAGATGTTTCTAGAATGGCATGTTTTCCCATTTCATGATTACCTCTATGTTTCTAACAAAATGAGAGTATGTTTGCAAAGATAAATATTAGTATGCCATTAAAGACACGTTTTCTGTTTCTTATACCTTATTTCGTTTTTCAGAATTCAATCCGTCACAACCTGTCTCTGCACAGCAAGTTCATCAGAGTGCAGAATGAGGGAACAGGGAAGAGTTCCTGGTGGATGCTCAACCCTGAAGGAGGAAAGTTTTTTTTCCTAGGAGGCGGGCAGCATCCATGGATAACAACAGCAAGTTTGCCAAAAGCAGAGGCAGGGCTGCCAAGAAAAAAGCATCTCTTCAGTCTGGTCAAGAGGGAAATGGTGACAGCCCTGGATCGCAGTTCTCGAAGTGGCCTGCAAGCCCCAACTCTCATAGTAATGATGACTTTGATAACTGGAGTACATTTCGACCTAGAACTAGCTCTAATGCTAGTACGATTAGTGGAAGACTTTCTCCTATTTTGCCAGAGCAAGATGATCTTGGAGATGGGGATGTGCACTCCATGGTATACCCATCATCAGCCACCAAAATGACTTCTACTCTACCCAGCCTTTCAGAGATGAGTAATTCTGAGAACATGGAAAATCTTTTGGATAACCTTAATCTCTTGTCACCTAATACGTCAATGACTGTGTCAACGCAGTCGACATCTGCTACCCTGATGCAACAAACACCAGGTTACTCATTTGCATCCTCAACCACAAGTATAGGTTCACAAAATCCAGACTACAGGAAATTTACGTATGCTCAAGCTAGCATGAACTCTTTGCCCCAGATTCCTATGCAGACTCTTCAAGACAGTAAATCAAGCTATGGATCGATGAGCCAATATAACTGTCCCGCAGGACTTCTGAAGGAGTTACTGACTTCCGATTCTCCGCCGCACAATGATATCTTGGCATCAGTAGACACTGGTGTTTCCCAGGCTGGTGGCAGGGCGCTGGGCCAAAGTGTGCTGATGGTCACTAACTCTGTGATGCCAACTTATGGCAGTCAACAGCCCCACAATAAAATGATGAACCCTAACACCCGCCCTCACCAAGGACATAACCAGCCAACACCTGCAGTTAATGGTCGTGCCTTGTCACACACAGTGAACACCATGTCACATACATCAGGTCTAAATCGCTTGTCGACAGTGAAGACTTCATTACAAGTGCCTATGAGTCATCCGATGCAGATGAATGCTATGAACCCATATGCTCCTGTTAACAGTTGCAATGGCTACGGAAGGGTGGGAATTGTTTCCCTCCACCAGGAGAAGCTTCCTAGTGACTTAGATGACATGTTAATTGAACGGTTGGACTGTGACATGGAGTCGATTATCCGTAATGACCTTATGGATGGAGAAACGTTAGATTTTAACTTTGACAGTGTATTGCCTAACCAAAGTTTTCAGCACAGCGTAAAGACAACCACACACAGTTGGGTGTCAGGCTAGGATGTAGTAGGAGGTAAGCTGTGCTTTTTATAATAAATTTGAAAAAAAGCTAAAGGGAAAAGAGATGTCAAACTGCTTAAAATCTGAATGGTCTTCTGTGTTGGCATGTGAAGTGCCTCTGTTACAGTCAGTCACTTTCCAGTCCTTTGTTAGTTTGAAAATCAGGTTTGCACCACTGCATTAGGATTGCTGTGTATCAACTTTTGTTACTTTGTGTGGAGCGCTAACGTTTTGCCATTAATGTTTTAAACAAAAAACTTGCTGGTAGCTAGCAATGAATACATTTTTTTTTTTCCCATTTAAGATGTGTTAAGCTAGTTTGAGCATATTTTAATAGATTTAATCTTTTGGTGTGAATGTTAATTTGTTCTTTTTTTTTTTTTTTTTTTTTTTTTTTCTTCCTAGGCTACGGTTAAATTCTCCAGACTTGTCTGACAGCAGGAACTGAGAAAAGCAGTACAAAGATGTCCTTCACCTTCCTTTTTAATTTTCTTGACAAAGCTGTGCACATGCACTAGCTTTTTTTTGGGTCTTTTTTTTTTTTTCTTCCTTTCGTCAGAGTTGGCAGCAGACAGAGTATTTTCCTGTACAGGATGTTTGCCCAAGGTTTGCAGGTTATGTGCTGCTGTAGATAAGAACTGTACCATTGGAAATTTCATTACTCTGAAGTGCCAAATTCACTACACCATATAATCACAGCAAAGACTTGTACTTACATCATGTTGTGCTTTCGGTTTTGTACAGTATGATCTGTAGAAGAAGAATTGTTTTTTAAGACTATCTGTTTTGGTCCAAGAAAAGTTTATAAACTTTTGTAAGAATACTGTGATGATCTCATGCCCTAAGTAAGTTTAACCTTCGTTGATGTTACCTGTGTTTTGATGAATTGAGATTAACTGTGGACTTGCCTTGCAGCAGTATGAACTGCATTATTTTACTCAAAATTGCCACACATTTCATATGGGAACAGAATAGCCTGTTAAATATGATCCTACTAAACTCACTGACTATTCAAAGCAAACAGTAGGTTAAATGCCATTTGATAAGTTACTTGTATTCATGTAAATTTATGCAAGAATATATCTGGATTTCATTGTCAGACTAATGACTTTATTGTTGGACTTAAGATAATTTTTGGAATACTTTCCAAGCTATTTTTCTTATAATTAAATCTACTTTTGTTATATAGGCAACTTAAAAAAGAAAAAAAATCTGAGATCTGGCAGCATTCATAACCTCTTCATTTTGTACAGTATTTTAACTGGATTAAGTACATGTTTTTATAAATCTCTCTAGCACTTGGGAGTGCTAATAAAGGAAAAGCTTAATAAGGATCTTGAATACAAAACATTTCTGTCCCTTTTTTTGTTGTGTGATGTATAAATATAGACAACTTTATGTTTAGGAAATATTTAATCATTTTATATATGCATTTTTAGAAACGTCATCTGCTTCTACTATCATTTTAACTCTGACTACCACAAAGTGTTAAGTATTCATTGTTAGATGCTTGTACAATGCTTCACATTTATATTTATTTCATGGAGGTCTCATAATGTTTGTGCAATCAAGAGCAGGACCTTTTGGAGAAAATTCATAATTTTAGTAAAATTAATGACAAAATTGTCATTTCTCTTAATTAGCACTAGTTTTAGGGTTGTCAGTGTTTCTGTTGTAATGCAAAACGTTTGAAGAGGCAAAACTGCAACTTTTGAGTGGGAGGCTAGAACTTGTGTGACGCCCTATTGCAGGATAAATCATTACTGATTTTTGAAATAAGATAGATAAAGTAAGTGGTGAAGTTATACAAATATGTGAGCTTTAAGGTAGGGGAGAGCATTAATGGCAGAGGCCTTGTTTCTGTGGAAAAACTTGGTCTTGTTGGAGTAGGCACACTGACAGCTACCCGAGCATTTTCAGGATTGGGGCTTGGATAAATGATTTCTGATTTTTTGTAACCGCATGATGCCATTGTCATGGGTGTGTGGATAACAGGCCTCACCTGTCGTTTCACTGGTTGCTACACATTGTTTGTGTTACAGAAATCCTTGGAGCTTTTTTGTGTGCTGATGGGATGAACGGCTTTTGTGCTAGGGCTGGCTGTTGTGAAGAAGGGGAGAAATAAATACTTTTCCACTGAATTTTCTTTTGTCTATGTAGCCCACAACTGGAAAATGTTCTAATTGAAACTTATCTTCCCTGTAGTGATGGCGTATGGTGGAGAAAGAAGTGGGATGTGCCAAGAAAATGAAGTTTAGTAACAAGCCATATATTTAAATGATCCTGTTATGACTTTCCTAAGGCTCTGTAGTGTATTTATTGATGTGCTAGCATTTAGCTCCCTGTTGGGCTTCAATCACTACTAATTACAGCCAGTCCTACTTTTTTAGATATCCTATTACGCTTGTCAGCAGCTCCAGAGGCTGATGTTAAGCTGTCCTGTGATACAGGGTCTCCCCCAGCATGAAATCGGTCTTTGAAATTCCGTTGAGCAAAATGAAATGTTCTTTGTGCCGAAGCCTCAATGAAGCTGCCTGCTTTTACAGCCAAATCTCTCTAGTAGCACCTTCACCATCAAATTCATGGTCTCTGAGACGTGATGGTAAATCCTGGCAGCGGAGCAAGCGGAAGGCTCACATACGCGTTTCTGAAGATCCTTCTTTCTGCTGCATGTGCAAACACGTTTGCTCCCAAATGGGCACTGATATGCATAGGCCAAAGAGGACACAAAATTCACCTCTTCATGCAAAGAAAGCAGTACTTAATGCTCTGTACTCCATGGGGTTGCAGCTGAACATGCTACATTTAACAATATACCTCCTGTTTATTATTTACTGCTACTGTATAAATTCCTGTATACAGATATTTTCTTCATTTCCTTTTATAATTATGAGTAACATAAATGTAGCCGTTCTTTAATTACAACAGTCAGTAAGAAGCCCCTTTTATTGTGAGAAAGTGGTTGTAGATAATCAGAGGTTTGGGCTGTGTGGTCAAATGTATTTTCTTTCTCTTTTTTTTTTTTTTTTTTTTCCCTCTTTGTGGTGCCATTCTAATATTTTGTAATTGTAATTCTGGAATACTGTGAAGTCTGGTGAAGGGGTATGTTGTCTGCCTTGAAAACAAACATTATGTGACCTCTAGTAATAAATCCTTTTTGAGTAAAAGTACCGAGTTTCTGGAGTAACTTAGTTTGTCAGAATTGTTGTAAATGATTGGTTTGTGAATTGTGCAGATGATCTTACCTATGCAGCCTTGTTTTTGACTTTTCTCTGGTTTGTACTGTTATTAAAAGTTTATTGTATTATAGAGCTGTTCAGATATTTTAAATATAAAGATGTATTGTTTCCATAATATAGCTATATGATATATGTTTAGGTAGTAGATGCATTAATTGGAAAGCTCTGCTTTGATAAACTGACAAGTTGCCTACACTTATAAGCAAAAGTCATATTGCTTATTATTGGCTTAAGTCAACAGAGCATCCCTAAGAAAAGAAGTTAAAATTGGACCAATTATAAAACAGTATAAAATTTGCACTTGTTAAACCACTGGATGTATGTTAGTACTTTTTTATTTTTTTACTGATTTGAAATTCCTATTTTCATTATGAAATTGCTAGGATCCTTAATTTATGACTGATTTTAAATAAGGTATTCTCATTATTATTATTATTATTATTATTATTTTGGTAATCATAATGTAAAATGCAGCATGGTTTATGCAAGCAAAAAGCAAATTACTCCGCATTAAAACTGGCCTCCTTTTTGAGGGTGTTCCACAAACCAGCAATATCGTGAGAGATTGGCATGTACATCCTGCTAGTTCTACTTGCGAGTGGTGTGACAGCTCTTCAACGCTTCACTGCTCTGACTTAGTCACATTGCAGAATTAAAATTCATACGTGGATATTTTCAGAAAAAGTGCCTGATGTACTTCTACAGACACACGAGAACAATCCCTGACAGTTTGTTGTATAAAGCCATAAATGTATATAAATTATGTTCAAAAGGTTTTGTGTCCTTTCTTGTATACGGAGAATGAGATTTGTACCAGGATTCTACTTGTGATTAGTAATCCTTCTACTCAGACGTTGTCGTAATCACTTTTCCTTACCGCGTAATCTTTTTAATGATGATGATCCCATTTGGACAATCCTGATGGCATTAGCAATTTTATATGGAAAAATACCTCATGGTACCAAGTCTTGCCTGGCAAGATGATACTGTATTAATGAGCAAACACTAACTGCAGAATAGTTAACAAATTTTCCATTACTTGGTATAAAGGAATTTGTCTCTCTTGGCATTGCTTCTGGAATTGGAACTGTAGCAGGTACAGGAACCTAATAGGGCTGCGTTACCAGTGTTTTATCACAACATAGTGTGCTAAAAGTAACTTGTTTACAAGTCTTTGAGACTAAACGCAAGAAGAATCCATGCCTGACTCTTAGGGCTCATGAGAGATCTTTGTGTAGAGACGCTTTGTTATTGGAAGCTGCATTAGACAGCATCAGACCGTGTTGCCAGTGCTTCAACAAGCCTAGTTCAGAAAGCATTACAAAAAATCCTGCAATCCTTTCAGAATGGGTATTTGTAAGTATAAGCTCTTAATAAAATTGCTATGACATGAGATGGTAATTAGTGTATCAGAATGTTATGTAATACATTGTTAAAGAAGGAAAAAAAAAAAAACGGGACGCCAACATCCATCAAACCGCAGGAAAGAATTAGTCTTTTATTCCAAATTACTTGTTAGATCCTGATGCTGTAAAATGTGGGAGAGAGTTGGCTCTGGAAAAACATTTTTCTCTTCCCTCCGCTCCCCCTGTTAAAACAAGATGGTTCGAAAAGTCCTCTTGGCCCTCTTTTCCCTCATTTTTGCCTCTTGCCTTCCTCTGCCCCTCCTGCCTTCCTGAAGTACGTACCTTTTCTCGGAGTAAGAGGTTTTTCTTTGCCGAATGTTTGGGCTATATAGGCCAACCTGCACGGTGCTGCTCCCTTCACAGCCATGCTTTATGCTGTGTGGCAGCAGGAGTGCTGATGTGAGTAGAGAGAGAGGAGTGCCTAATTTTTATTTTTTTTTTAAGTTTAGATTGTGTTTCAAAACAGAGCTGGAAGAAAGGAGGAGAGGCTGCCAAAACAGACAGCCAATAACACCCACGCCACAGTAGTCTTGTGAGGCCCAGATCCCTGCTTGCCTGCAGGTGGGGAGGGAGAGGGGTGGCAGAGAGCAGGCTTTAAATGAATTGCTGGCAAAAATGCCAGTTTGTTCTTAAAGTGAGCAGAGGTAGACCTAAAGAACATGAAAAAATGCATTAAAATAGAAATATTTAAAGATATTTAAAAAATAATTTCCCTGTGTGCTTTGCAGTTCCGTCTTTATTTTAGCTTTGCCCTTTTTTCTTCAGTGTACGTTTTGGAAGGGTTATTGCACGTTACGGGAAGCTGAGGATATCTTCACTGATGTTTTGAAAAACCTGGCTTCTGGAATGGGAGGGTTGTAAGATCCAAAGATACTCCTTTTGGGCGTTCGCAAAGCTATTGTTGGAAAGAATGTGCATCCAATTGGTACATGACTAGTTAATGCTGTCAGGAAAGAAAGTAAAATCTTGTCTCTTAGGAAGGGACCGGCTACCAATTTATGCCAATCTGGCAACAAGGGATTTGAATTTGCTGATGAAACACAGAAACCTCAAAGCATCCTTGTGCCCTGAATCAGTTCTGCATCGAGGTAATAAATACGTTTTTGTGCAGAAACATCAGCTATTATGTCATGTCCATTGTTAATCCAATTAAAAGTACAAATAGCACTAGATGTTGCAGCCATTTATCGTGCAGCTGGTGTGCAAAGATGAGTTTTGTGAAAATCCTAAGAAGGAAAAACTTGCACTGAGCAGTGCCTGCTGCTGGAATTGCATGCAAATCCCTGTTCATTACCTGGTGATGTTTTGCCTGGGGTAATGTACTGGCATGTGCCAAAATGATAGCTAAAATAAGGAGGCAGGGACAGCGCCCCATCTTGTTTTATTTTATGTTTTTTTCTACTTGCTGTTGGACCCTGGGGCATTCAGAAATTTTGCATGTGTTTTCTGCGAGTAAACTTTTTGTGTGGGTGTTTATCACTGAAGTGATGGGAAAAGGGGTGAGGGCTTCGTGCAGTACAACTGGAGGAGCACTGCAGGAAGCTTCTGATAGGTATAATAGGAGTGAACAATCTGACAAGGAGCTTGTTTGTAACTTGGAACCTCAATATTTTACATCCTTACTGTTTGTTCATCTATAGTAGCTCCTGCCATCCTTAAATGAAGAGGCCTTTTCAAGTGGTTGCATTTCCTTCTCAGTGCCCTAGAGTGACACTACCTGACTAGGCAACTGCCCAGAGCTTGCACAAGAGTGTTGCTGGGTTTCCGGGGAACTGTGGGCTTTGGCAGGAATGTCTAAATTGTTTCTGAAATATTCAATCAACTTCAATTTTGCTGAAGTCAAAGGAGTTCGCGGAAAAGCCCATTATAGAAGTGCATGCATATGCATTGGAAGGGGAGAGGGGATGAGAAATTCTGCAGGCATAATGAGCTCTTTCTGGGATGATGAAGCAGGACAAGTGGTTGCTTCAAAGAGCAAAGGAGGATGGATTTCTCTAGGGTAAGGGCTCAATGTACCGAGAAAAGACCTTCCTTTCTGTTGGATTTTGAAGTTGTGTCTGGTAGCAGCCACATCCTGGGCCGATTTGTTGCTTGGAACTTTTTGAC